TCCTTTCACGAAAATGCTTACTTAAGGGGGGAAAAAAATCAGCTATTTTTGTTCTAAATTGTTTGCTTAGATTAAGGAAACCAGTTTTTCCACATGCACATCAAAACAAATCTGCAAAACATGTTTCAAACAAAAAAAAGGCAGATGTTCTTAAATATGTTTGAAGAGATTAAGTACAGTTAAGCTCTCTGGTTATTCTAATATGAAGTCCTACAATTAGACGGTTAGTTTTTTTCTTAATAATAGCTTTCCTGATCTGCCTGGGAAATCGATTCTAGCCCTCTCTTCTAGTCTAATTAGGAGTTGGGCCTCCATTCCATCTTGGGAAAAACTGTGAAAGAACTCCATCAAGTCCCCTAAGGCCCACACAGAGAAGCAGCCAAAGACAGCCCAAGTCCCAGTGACGACGAAGGGCTTGCTTCCTGGAGGCCATGGGCTCTGCCTTCCACTTTCAAGTTTATAAGGAAGAAGCCTGCACAGGTCTCATAATCCAAGCGAGGGAGGGCAGTGTGAGGGCAGCGCCCAAAATACCACTCAGCAGCAAATGAACCATTTTCTAGGAAGCATGAAAACTACCAGTTCAGTCACATTCAAAGAACCCAGAACCTTGAGAGTAACTTCTGTGTTTGTGCTGGGGCAGGGAGACATAATTGTGAACCGCACTGTGAAAGGTCAACACATTCTCTCCCTTCCAGCGTTCCTTTCATTCACTAGGCTGAGAGATCAGATCATTTTAAATTATTGCTGGAACTCAGAGAACAAAGCCCTAATCCTTCGGTCTAAAGTATTTTAATGAAGTAATACCAAAGCCTACATTTGCTTCCCGAGCATTCTCAGTTACCCTCAAGGAGACCATCCCCTCCCACAAACATCGGGATGGTTCACAAATTTTAAAATGCATTTTTAGGAAAAACAGAAATTGGCCGTTTATCCTACAATAATCCTACAAGAGCTGTCTGGGAGGATGCTGAAGTTTTCCCCTAATGCATCCTTGGGGCAGCTAGGTGACGCACTGGACAGAGATCCAGCCTTGGAGTCAGAAGGACCTGAGTTCAAATCCAACCTCAGACACTTGACACTAGCTGTGTGACCCTGGGCAAGTCACTTAATCTCAACCGTCTCAACAAAAAACAAACAAACAAAAAAGCATCTTGGCAACCTGAGAGGGGCTAGGAAAGGAAAGGACCAGGCCAAAACGAGAGGAAGGTGCAGGGGCTGGACTTCTGGGACACTGGAGCCTCGAGCCAAGCTGACTTGGGCAAAAACCCCAACGAAGCTCTGCAAGTGAGGAAGGAGGTTTATCAGCTTCAGTAAGGTGACTTCCTGCCACAAGGATGTCCACCACAGGCTACGGACAAGAACAGACTGGAGTCTAATGGAAAATGGCCTGGGGGCAGGCCTGGAAGTAGGTGCCCCTGAGCGTGGCATTCAAGGTGCTGGCCAGCTGGGCACAGGCTTCCTGCATCAACCAAAAGAAGAGTGGCAGCCACGTGCTGGAGTCTGGCCTAGAGCATGGCGCGTACTAAATGCCTTCTTCCCACCACTCAAAAATTATAGAAGTGACCTCATGCTATGGAGATAAAGATAACAGAATTCCATAAAACGGAATTCTATTTTAGGATTATTAAAATTTTTCAGATTGTTAAATGAGAAAAGTAGTAGGTCCTTAGCGCCCATGTTAACTGCTGGAAAGTGAACAAGGTAACCACTTAAATCAGGGGCCGCTCAGCTCTTCAGTCCTGACTCTCTGGCCACAGCGGCCCTCCACGTCTCTGGGCGGAACCTCATCCATCCCTGCAGACGCCTCCTCCAGGACCCAAGCCTCCTCGTCCATCTCCTGCCCTCTCCCTCCCTCCCTGTGCCATCTCCTCTGTCTCGGTCAGTCCTCTGATTTCTGTCTCGGTCTCTCCTCCGAAGCCCCTGAGCACCCTCCTCATGACCCCTACATGCTTCCCAGAATCTCCTCTGTCCTAATGCACACCTTCTATCACTGACAAGTCTTGGACCCTTGACTTAAACTGTCTGAGGACCGGCAGTGTCGCAGTCATCTTTGAGGTCTCTCGAGTGCCCTGCACACAGTTGGTGCCCAATTGTTTGCTGAATGAATGCTCTTTAAAATGAAATTTTACTCTATTTGTCTAAGTATTTTCTTAAGTTAATACTCGAAGATAAACCAGTAAAGCTCACTTTCAGGGAGATGAAAGAGGACTTTATAAAATCCTGCCGGGGAGGCTTCTTCCTGCTCCTGAGGACATGAGACTGCCTCGTGGGACACTCCCTCCGTGGACACACATCTACAGATCACAAGCCCTCTCCGTAACTCAGTACGTGGTCTCTGAGATTTGCTGTGACCAGCCTGGAGAGGAACCTCTGGGACCTGAGCAGCATTTCCAGCTTGGTCACCCCCGGCAGCAAATCTGGAGAAGCTGAGGGTCACCTCCTCACTACAATGAGCTCAACGCCACAGCAGGACTCGGCTGCCCTCAAAATTACATTTGTTCATTTCATTCCCACTTGGGGCAGCAAGGAAACACAAAACACTATGTCTACTACATCACCCTTTTTGTTTAAAGAAGAAAGAGATATTGGCAGAAGAAGAATTAAGGGTGTCAAATTTCTGTTCTACTTCCGTGTGTCGATGTGTAAGTTACAGACAACACCGAAGCAGCCATTCTTATCCAGCATAAACATGTCCAAGCAGTAGCAGCAACTCCTTCAAGCTGAAATAGAAGCAAAACTGCTTCCTGTTCCCACCTTGGTCCCTCTCCTCACAGCTGGACTCTCCTCCCCAGCTCTTGCCCTCATGCGAGGGGACTTCAACATATACCCACACTGACCCTGAGCACCTAGCTCCTCAACCAACTCACTTCCTATGACCTACTCCCCCCACCACCTCCACCATGCACAAAGATGGTCGTGGCACTGAACACGACTTCACCCACAAATGCACCACCTCACTGTTCAAGAATTCCAAAATATCATCATCCAACCATGCCCTGTTGGCTTTCCTCCTCTTTCTCCGCCTTCCCGTACCCAAACCCTAGGCTTCATCCATACCACGACCTCCAATCTTTCTCAGTCTCGTCCCAGGCCATTTCCCCTGCCCCAGCCACTCTCTCCTCTTTTCCCCATCTTGACCCCTTGGTGAACCAATTCAACCCTAGCCTGTCCTGTCCGCCTGAGTCCCTGGCCCCCCCCTTATCTTACTGCTAGCTGTGCCCTGCCAAGCCTCAGTCTTGGTCACCTTCAATCCTGCACATCTGCTGCTGAACCTATTCAGACTGGGTCCAGTACACATTTCTGTTACATGAGCTCACCTGGGCCCTCACTGCTACTCAGCAATCCTACTATACCTCCCTCGTCAGCTCACTGTCCCAATCTCCACAGAGATTTCCCAAGCCTTCCATCCCTCTTCAAACCTCCCACAGCCCCTCTCCCTCCATCTCTCAGCTGAGATCCCTGCCTCGTATTCTACCAAAAAAAACCTGGCCATTCTCCGTGAGCTCCCTCTTCTCCCTTCTTCCCCATCACTCTGACTCCTTCTCCCTTTACCCCTGAATCACAAGAAGATGTGGCCCTACTCCTTACCAAGGCTTGTCTCTCTCTCCCTGTTCAAGGGATCCCATCCCACCCCATCTCCTCCAACACACTGGCCCCCTCTGCCATGTCCACTAATTTTCAACCTCTCCCTTTCTGCTGGTTCACTTCCTCCCACCTACAAACATGTTCATGCCTCCCACAACCTGAAAAAAACCCTCACTTAATCTCTCCTGTCCTTGTGGCCAGACTAATCAAAAAAGGACGTTTACAAGTGGCGCCTCCACTCACTCCTTTTCGAACCCCTTACTACCTGGCTTCTAGCTGTATTATTTTACCTTCTTGTCTCCCCAGTCTCTCCTGGCTCTCCTCCCACTCACCTAACCGCTCCTTCGCTGGAACCTCCCCCAGACTGCTCCCTCTCACCACTGGTGCCCCTTGGGGTTCCGTGCCGGGTCCTCTCTTCTACTTCTCTTGGTGATCATCAGCTCACATGGGTTTAATGACGACCTCAATGCTGACGATCCCCAAATCTACCTGTCCTGCCCAACCTCTCTGCCGACCCATTCTTGCATCTCCAGCTGCCTTTCAGACATGTTGAACTAGATGTCCAGCAGGCATCTTAAAACTCAACATATCCAAAATGAATTCAGCTCGTTCTCTTTCCCCCTACGGCCCCCCCCAGGCTCACAGCTTAGGAGTCATCCTGGACCCCTCGCTGTCTCTCACCCCAATATCCAAGCTGTTGCCAAGGGCTGTCGACTTACCTTTGGAGCCCCTCTCCCATAGGCCCCCTTCCCTGACTGTCCCCACTCTGGTGCAGACCTTCATCACCTCCCCTCTGGACCACCGCAGGTGGGTCTGCTGCTTCAAGACTATGCCACTCCAGCCCATCCTCCATTCAGTCACCAGGGATGCTCCTAAAGCGCCGGTCTGTCAGTCTTTTTTTTTTTTTAAAGGCAATGGGGTTAAGTGACTTGCCCAGGCTCACGCAGCTAGTGAGTGTTATGTGTCTGAGATTGAATTTGAACTCAGGTCCTCCTGACTCCAAGGCCGGAGCTCTATCCGCTGTGCCACCTAGCTGCTCATCATGTCAGTCTTTGATCACCTCCAAGATCAAAGACAAAACGTTATGCCTGGCATTCGAAGCCCTCTAGTTGTCTTACACCCAACTCCCCAACATGCACTCAGACCCAGTGACACTAGCCTCCTGGCTGGTACCCAAACCGCCAGAGAGAATGTGGTCCCCCAGGCCTGGAAAGCCCCCCTTCCTCCGCTCTGACTGCTGACCCCCCGGCTCCCTCCTGAGTCCCGACTAAATCCCATCTTCTTCTCCAGGAAGCTTCCCCCCCTTTTTTTGTAAACTGTCTTTTCCCTCTTTTTGTATTCCCAGCCCTTAGTGCAGTGCCTGGCACACAGCAGGTGCTTAATAAATGTTTGCTGATGATTACTGATGAACTCACCTTCCTCATCTATCCATTTCATGGTGAACAGCTGTTCGTTATCAAAGGAACACATGTCTCGAACCTCACTGCAGAGTCCCTCAAAGGAAATTGATGGTTCAAAGTGTGTTATCATGATGTCCCTGAGGAAAAAAAGAAAGGTGCTTTAAATTCAACAAGAAGATATCAATACTCCATGGATAGCGAGATGGTGGACATTCAATGAATAGCCAGTTAACAGACAATTCATATTACTAATAAACCCACTGTCCATTTATCAATGTGTAGTTATAAGAACAGTTATCATTGTTATAGAATTTCTTCGAACTGTAGGTTCTTAGACTTAAAAGGGTGCTCACAGGTCCTCTTGTAAACCTTCTGCCCAGTTCAGGAGTTCTTTAGGTGGTAGAGTGGCTAGATCACTAGATTTGGACTCAGGAAGACCCAAGTCCAAATCGGGCCTCAGACACCAGCAACCTCAGTCAGCCTCAGTTTCCTCATCTGTAAGACTGGAATAATAACAGCACCTTCCTCCCAGAATTGGTGTGAAGATTATTATATCATATAGGTAAAGAACTCTGTCAACCTTACAGTGCTATATAAATGTCCACTATTACTATTCAAAAATCCCTGACAGACACAGTTATCCAGATTGTGCTTGAATACTTCCAAAGATGGGGAGCTCAATATTTCATAAAGCAGGCAGTTCCAATGCAGGACAACTTAACACTGTTAGAAAATTCTTCCTTGGACCAAATCAAAACCCTTCTCCCTATAACCTCCTCTGCTGTTCTAGCTCTTTACTCCGAAGCGACACAACCTGCCTTCTCCTATACGCCATCCAAACAAACAAAGGCAGCTGAGGATGCCCCATGTGCCTTGGCCTCTCCTGTTCTAGGCCAGGGCATCCAGGTCCGTCTAGGAGGGAGGCTGCCGGCGTAATTTAAGGAACACTGGACGTGAACACAGAACGTGGAGATTCCTGCTCCCAGGCCTGCAACTTATCAAATCACTTAACCTCACTGAGTGTGTCAGTGTCTCCATCTGCGAAATGGAATAAAAGAAGACATCTACTTCCCAAGGTCATTTTAAGGCTCAAACAAGAGAACACACATAAAGTGCTTTGTAACCTCGTATTGCCACGGATAACCCGTCGTGATGACAAGGGTCCCAGGCCTCTTCCTATGCCACATGTCCTCTTTTAAGGGCCATGCTCTAGTTTCTCAATGTAGCTCTTCAAATGACCTTCCCCCAAATTGATCACAATATTCCAAATGTAGACTAACTAATACAGAATACTGTTTATCCTATTTCCATTCATGCACCCTAAAATTTTGCTAATCTTTTCTTTTGGTTACTGCCTATGCAATCTTGGGCAAACTGCTTACGGGCCTCCATTTCCTTCTCTGGAGAATGAAGATGAGGTGGCCTCGCGGGTCTCTTCGATGACTATGCCCACTTTGGGTGACACCCACAGGTACTAATGAAGGCACCTAGAAAGCAGCGCTAAAGAGGAGAAGAATTCTGCAAAAGATCAAAGACCTGTGAGGCAGCTCCGGTGTTTCCAACAGCTGCCCTGAAGCCCTAAACCCCACAGGAGGCAGAAGAGTAAGGCAGGTTTGTGAAGGAAAGAAGGTGGTGCCGGAGATGACGACTGCTGAGCTAAGGCTCCCTACACCTCCCGGCCAAGGGGCCAGACTAGTCCAGAAAAGGGCTTCGAAGAACAGGATGCCAAGCACTACAAAGCTGTGTGCCAACCAGCCCGACCACTCTGGAAACCACGAAGAGGGACGTGAGAAAAACCGGATCTCGTTAAGGGACATAGGTCCCCGGTGAGGCCAAGGACAGGAAGCTTCTGGGTGCACTGACACAGTCACAGAAGCACCTTTTGTGGTAGCACGCAAACCAAGAAAAGGAAATAAAGTGAGTGCCCACTGATTGGGGAACGGGCTGAACAATCCATGACAAACAAATTATACAGAGAATACAATCACTCCTTAGAAAGTAAAAGACAGGAAAAAGTGAGAGAAATATGGGCCTCTTATATAACTACTGACACCGAGTGAGGTAAGCAGAACAACATCCAGAACTCCAACTATGTAAGGGAAAATAATAGTAATAGCCAGCATTTATACAACACTTAAAATCTGCAAAACCCTTTCCAAACATTATCTCATTTGATCCTTGAAACAACCCTGGGAGGTTGGTGCTACAATGATCCCCATTTTAAATTTTTTTTTAAATTTTTTTAGACAATTGGGGTTAAGTGACTTGCCCAAGGTCACAGAGCTAGTAAGGGTGAAGTGTCTGGTCTGAGGCCAGATTTGACCTCAGGTCCTCCTGACTTCAGACTCAGTATGCTATCCACTGCGCCACCTAGCTGCCTCGATGATCCCCATTTTATAGATAAGGAAACTGAGGTAGACAGAGCTGGTGTCATACAGCTAGTGAGCGTCTGAAGCTGGATCTGAACTCAGGTGAAAATGGCTCTCTCGGGATATCTCTTACTCAGGGGCTGCAGGGTAGGCGAGAAGTACAGTCTGTCAAGAAGGGAGAGTCACGTGAGAAATCTAGGCATTGGGGGTCAAGGATGACGGGGGAGCGGCAGCTAGGTGACACAGTGGACAGAGCTCCAGCCTTGGAGTCACCTGAGTTCAAATGCGGCCTCAGACACATGACACTCACTAGCTGTGTAACTCTGGCAGGTCACTTAACCCCACTGCCTAACCCAAAAAATAAAAGGATGACAGGGGAGAAGACAGGCAGAAAGAGGCTAGAGGAGAAGAGCAAATGGATCACTGTTAGCTACATCTTCTCAAAGGAATTCCATACTCTCACCGTCGGCTACAGTTCTCTGTGTCCAAGCATTTAACCAATAATTCACATTTCTGTCATATTTTAAGATTTGCAAAACACTCGATCTACATGCTCTCATCTAACCTTTCCCACAACCCCACTGAGAGATAAGTAAACTACAGCTAAGAGAGGTAAGGAACTTGCCCAGGGCCACACAGCTCCCCAGTGTCTGAGGCAAGGCTAAACTCGGGACTTCCTGCCTCCAAGTACACGGCGGCGCTATTCATGAGGACACACTGCCTCTCTCTCCAGACACCAATGACCGCTGGACAGGACCTTACTGATAAGCCTGCCCCAACCCTGCACTCTCCAGGAGCACACAGAGAGGCTGTGTGATTTACCAGGGGCACAGCCAGAAATCAAAGCTGGGCCCTCTTTCTTTCAGACGCCCTTTTCACTTTGTTGGTCAGTCATGTCCGACTCCTCATGAACCGGTGGACACTAGGACCGTCCATGAGGTTTTCTTGGTTTGCCATTTCCTTCTCCAGTGGATTAGGGCAACCAGTGGTTAAGTGACTTGCCCAAGGTCACGCAGTATCTGAGGATGGATCTGGACTCAGATCCGCCTGCCTCCAGGCCCAGCGCTCTATCCACTGCCCCCCACCTTTCACTATACCATACTAAGAATTCATTAGCTTGCTTCAATGACAGTTTTCATTCTTCAGAAATGGACTTGGGTCCAACGGGGAGAAATTTCATCCTGGATCTCATCCTCACCAACAAGGAGGAACTGGAGGTTGGGGTGAAAAGTACCAGAATCATGGTGGGAGGTTCCAACTCCATCAGAGTCCTTGTGAGAGGATGCAAGGAAAGCCGGGAATCCTCAGACATGCATCTTACCGCCCACCTGTCTGAAGAGCACATTTCAAAGGGTTTGCAGAAAGGAAAAGATGAGCTCCCACAGACTAAAATCTAAAGGGTATAAATCCATGAGAGACAGGAAGCTCTAGAGAATGAAATTCCAGAGACATAAAGGAAACAATTCTGATAAGGAGGAGAAGAGGAAGTGAGCTAAAAGAAATGACTGATGTGGACTCGCTGCCTTCGACTGGGTAAAAGACAGATACAAAGCTGAGTGATGGAGGACGTTCGTGAAGGCGGGAGCTCGGCTTGAGCTGAGGCTGGAAAGGAAAGCTTAGGGGGTTTAGAGGGCAGAGTCATAAGCCAAGGCAAAGAAGAAGATAACAAGTACGTGCCTAATTTCCCTCTATAAATCCACATCACCCATGTCAAAAGCACTGCATCCTCAGGTACTAGGGTGTGTATTCTCCGTGTGACCTTGGGCAGATTAACCTCCTCCAAGGCTAGTCGTCTCTGGAAGCTGGACGAGATGCTGGAGCTCAGAGGCATCAAACTCTCCATTCCAGCAAAACTCCTGAGAGCCTCCAGAACCAGATTAAAAATGTAACTGGAGGGGCAGCTAGGTGCCGCAGTGGACAGACTACAACCTTGGAGTCAGAAGCACCCGAGTTCAAATCCAACCTCAGACACTTGACATTGGCTAGCTGTGTGACCCTGGGCAAGTCACTTAACCCCGACTGCCTCACCAAAAAAAGCAAACACACACAAAAAAAGTAACTGGGAAAAATGTTTAGCAATATAAATGAAAATACAATACAATACAATACTGTTACTATGTCATTTTCTAAGCCAACATGCAGGCTGCAGGATCTGTGCCTGCTTGAGTTTGACCCTGCTGCACAATCAGGCAGGGGTGTGTGTAACAGTGCCCACGGATCAGAGGCGGGCCTGGTGCTGCTGAACCTTCATTAATAACTTGGATGAGCACAGACGGCACGCTCATCACATCTGCAGGCAACGTCAACCTGGGAAGCACAGCTAATAGACATGCCGAATGACAGTCAGGGTCTTAACAGGCAGAACATCAAGACAAATCCAAGATGAAATTTGAGAGCAACATAATTATGAATTCAAACTTGACTTTAAAAAGTCAACTTCATAAGTTCAAGACAGGGGGTACAAGTCTAGACAGCAACTGGGGGAGGAAGATATGGGGGCTTCAGTGCACGTGGGTTCAAAGTGACTCTACCGAGTGACACGGGGCCAGGACAGCCAAGTCAACGTCAGAGTGCAATGAGAGAGGAGAGATAGCGTGCAGGACTAGGGAGCGCTGGGAACCTCAAAGGACCGATAAAAATGCATGCTGGTTTTACCAATCTATTCAAAAGGGGGGCTTTAAACAAAAAAGAAGAGAGAACACTGCTTAACAAACAGCTACCAAGCTGAATTAGAAGAGCAAGAGGGTGAAGAGAGTCACTATTGCATT